TTTTATTGTATATAAATTAAACAAAAGCATTTCTGGATTTTCCTAAAATTCTACTTAACTTACGGTCTGATAGGGCAACTGTTGACTAGAAAGAACTTCAGCAGCCCCTTTTAGATATGGCAGACACTCTTCAGTTCACCATAGGCCTCACCACACCCTATGGTCTCCCACCTGGCCCACTTCCCTCATTTAGGTTACCTGCCAGGCCCCTTAGGCATTTGAATTTGAAACTCTTGCTTTTGAAAATAGCGTAATTATAGTGCCATTACCTCTAGTAAAGATCAGGACACTACACTGTTCCAGCAACCTTGCCTGACCCTTCAGGCTGAGTAAGGCAAGCCACTCAGAAATTCCCTAGCACCCTATGCATGACTCTATTATATTGCTCTTCAGAGTTTGTTGACATTATTTTTCTGTATTAGAATGCTATTGATTCCAAGTGGCAGAAATGCAGCTCAATCCAGTTTTAATCAAATGGAGAAATGAAGTTTCATGTGGCAGGGGTGGAGCTGGCCTCAGGGACACACTCCAGTCTCATCGGGATCCTCTCTTTCATGGGTCCTCTCTCATGTCGCCATTCTCTTGGATTGGTTGTCCCCAGGAAGCTGGAAGAAAGACTACAGGCACCCCTGGATGTGTCTTCTTCTAGCCTCATGGCCACAAAGGAAAGAGAGCTCTACCACATCTCCACTGGGGAAATTCTGGGATTCAACCCTGACTGTGGCCAGAGAAGAGACCTACCAGTTTGGGCAGGGCATAGTGAGGTTTCAGCTGACATCAGAACCATGTGCTTGGAGTTAGCCGTAAAGAAGTGCCCCAAAGTAAGGCATACTGCTCTGAGCTGATAAAAGATCACATTTGCTAACTTGTCTTTACTTTCCACTAGTATCTCCAATCTTTAAGAATAGATCCCGTGTCTTTGATTTCTGTATCTAATACAGCACAGTGTCTAACACAAAAAGACCTTTAAAAAGTATTTTTTAATGAATGTTGAATGAAGAATAAAGCTTAATTTGTCATAATCCTACACCTTGGATTTTCTAGAGCAATCCCAATTTCATAAAATATTACTTTTCATTAAGATGATTCTTTAAATCCATAAATAATTTTATGTTTAGTAAAGTGTTTTATAAAATTACATTTAGAAATTGTATTACTTGGCACACTATTGGTTTTGGTTCAGAAAGTCTGGATCTTTTGTTGGTTATTTTTTTATCTACAAATCCCTTTTAACACCTTCTCTAGACAGCTCTGTGCTGTTGGAGGCTGACCCTTTGGGCTGCATCTCCCGTGATACTTTCTGGTGGGCATCTGTTGGGCTTGGTTAATGGGAGCCATTGCAGGTCATATTATATCAGAGGGAAGGAGAAAGTGAGAGTGGAGTATTTCTTCCCCCTCTCTCCCTATTTCATGTCTCTCTTGCTGTGCCTACTTCCTTCGTTCCCACAGCTCTCAGGGGACAGCAGCTCCTCCACTCTGAACTTCAGTCACAGTGTTCATTCAGGCTTACAGACGGTGCCAGCTTTCTTCCATTGCTGCTTCTGCAAACCTCACCCTCAGAAGTAGCCCCTACATTTAAGCCCCATCATGTGAAACAAGTGGGGTGGATGGGTGCTGTTTCCCTCTTAGACCTTGACTGAACTATTAGCTTAACCCTAGCAGGTACAATTTGCCAATTAGGTCATTCCTCTAGGTCAGTGGGTCTTTCTCTCTGCACACTGAGATTACCTGGGGAACTTCAGGACAGACTGCTGCTGGTTTCCATCCCCAGAATTTCTCATGTCATTGGTCCAGGAAGTGGCCTGGGCATCAGGATTTAGAAATCTCTCCAAGCCCTTCTCATGTGTAGCCAAGGCTGAGAAGCATTGCTCTGATTCATGCACCTCCTGTACAGAGAGATTTTCAGCCTACAGTCACACCTCGACATAATGGACTAATTCGGGCGAGGGCGTGTCTGTTAATGCTGAAAGTATGTTATATAGTAAAGTAGGTTTTCCAAATGCGTATGTTAAAAAAATTGACATTAGCTTACCTGCTTTTACTTATGTAGACAAGTTTGTGTAATTAAAATTGAGTATGTATGAAGAGTTTAATTTCACAAAGTTTTCTATGTGTATCACTGTAATTTTAAATTTATACTGAATAGATCTAGCAAATGTGTGCATTCTCAAGTCACCATGTGTAAACTAAAGCACACAAACAAAGCTGGGGCATGGCTTAGCACACGTGGGAACATCAGCTGGCGTGCATTAAAACTGCTGTGGAAAGTCACACCATGCCACAACAGAACCAATTACCATGGGTGCTGTGGTGTGACCACGTGCTCATCATTTGCTGAACATTGTTTACAAGTGGTGACTCTTGGATTTAAATATGTAGACCAGTGGTTCTCAACCTTGGCTGCACATTAGAATCATCTGGGAATCTTTTTAAAATCCTGATTTCTGGCCCTCATCCTCTGGAAATTCTGTTTCTTTGTTATGGGGTGGGGCCACAACGTTAGGAACAAAGAAACAGAATTTCCGGAGGTGAGGCCCAGAAATCAGGATTTAAAAAAGATTCCCAGGTGATTCTAATGTGCAGCCAAGGTTGAGAACCACTGATGTAAACTATACTTGTAGATATGTAATATTTACCTATGTCGGTGAAATGACTACAGTGTTTTTTCCAACATATGACCTATTTGCTAAAATTTATTAAAAATAAGTGAATTAATAACAAAAAAATAACCTGTTAATTTAATTATAAGCAAATGTTGGTTAAAAGCATTTTAAAATTAACAGGGCGTTCATTTTCACATATGACACACAGACCAGTAATTTTGTCCATTAAATCTGAAGTCCAAAGTCTGTTAAATCAAGGTCTGAAAAATCGAGGTTTTACTGTGTAATTAACAGTCAACCACACAGTTGACTCTTGAGCAATGTGGGTTTGGACTTTGTAGGTCAACTTATATGTGGATTTTTTCAAGTGATCCTCACAGTTCAACATAGTCAAGGGTCAGCTGGTGGTTTAGAGTCCACATATGCAGTGAAGTGCCTTAAGTTCTATGCAAATTTTCACCTTTGTGGGCAGTTGGTGCCCCTAAACCCCCACATTGTTCAAGGGTCAATTGTATATGATCCATTGTGGTGTATTTACTTATTACAAATTATTGTCATCTTCAGTTAAAAGTAATGTTATTTTTCTACTCATTCGTGAAAGCATTTTTAAACAAAATAGAACAGGTTCAAACACTTACTCTTTTACTAGGGGCCCAGTGCACGAATTTGTGCACCTTGAAAGGAACTGTGGGCTGCAGACCCATCCTCCGTGCCCCTGCCTGGCCCCTCACCCTGCAGTCCCCTGTCTGCTGGCAGCCCCACTCCCACCAGCGCCGCTCCCACACACTGAGGCACTGGCCCCGCTCGTACCCACTGACGGCGCAGAGTGATTGGGGCCAGCACCAGCAGTGGGTGCAAGCAGCGGCTGCTGGCCCCAATCGCCCCTCAAGAGCAGGGGGAGATGGAGAAGCCCTGAGGGGTGATCAGGGCCAGCAGCTGCCGCTTGCACCTGCTGATAGCACCAAGCGATCGGGGCCGGGGCCAGCACCGGGCGTTGGTAGTGGGTGCAAGTGGTGGCTCTGGCACCAGCAGTGAATGCAAGTGGGGCCGTGCCGGCAGCAGGTGCAAGCACCGGGTGGGACCGCGGCCCACAGGAGCAAAGAATTTTCAGTAACCACCAGAGGTTCACCCTGATGACAACGACTGGTGTCCTGCCTTAGTCTGGTGCCCCCGCTCACCTGCTCCACCATCCCCTGCCATGTTCTGCGCTCTGCTGCCGACACCCGCCATGTTCCATGCGTACCCCTAGTGGTCAGCACATGTCATAGCGACTGGTTGTTCGGTTGTTCAGTTGTTTAGCCATGCGGCCTATTTGCATATTAGGGTTTTATATATATAGATTGCAAGACTTGAAAGACATAGACTCTGATATTAGTTATAATATAAAACCCAGACATAAGTTATTTCTAGGAATACACAGAGAAAACGTTACAAAGCAAGACTGGAAATTAAGACAAAGCAAACATATACTAAGCAAATACAAAGGGAAAAATATAAAGTCAGCATTAATATAAACTAAAATGTAACTCAAGGACAAAAGCATTAACAAGGTGAAAGAGGAAAAATGTAATGAGAAAAAGTTAATCAATGAACAAGTTGTGTATAAGTCATAAACATTAAGAGGTAGACAATATAGCAAAATCCCAGAAACATAAGCAGATATTGATGAAAAGATTTTTATTGTGGAATGTTTTTAATATTCTTTTAGAACTTGACAGTTCAAGTATATTATTAAAGAACAGATACAGAGGTTTGAAAAATACAATAAACTATACATTTTTTCTTTTTTTATATTTATGTAATACACAAATTACCTATGTACTTGGCATAAGAGCAAACTTTGCTAAATTTCCCAAAGCATGTTTTTGTACTTTCAAATACAAAATCAATATTAAAAATATTTTTAATCCTGTAATTATTAGAAAATTAAGAAACCTCTTCCACATAATTCCTGTTTTAAAGAGGAAGTCTAAAAATCACAGATTAAGTACCCAATAGAAAATAGGAAAACACTTTATTTTATTTTATTTTTTTTTGTTAAGCTTCAACCAAGGATATTTTTAGAGAGAATGGCAGGGAAGAGGAGAGACAGAGAACATCAGTGTGAAAGAGACACACTCACATCGACTAGTTGCCTCCCATAGGGGCCTCGCTGAGGATCAACCTGCAACCTAGGGCCCTTGACTGGAATGGAAGCTCAACCCTTTAGTCTGAGGGCAGGCGTTCTATCCACTGCCAAACTGGCTAAGGCTGAAAACACTTTATATTAAAACCTACTGGATACAGTTAAGAGCTTTGTTGGGATATGGGATAGGGATTTATAGCCTTGAAAGAAAACAAAATTACACAAAGTCATGAATATCATATTTGGAACAATTTGGATATTGTTTTTCCTTGATATTTTTATAAAATGGCCCCATAGGCCCTTTCATTGATTTTCAGATTTTCTTCACTTGGACTGTTTTCCTTTTTCATTCATCCCTTTGTCAATGTCATAGTAAGAGCGAATAAAGCGATCAAGAATTTTTCTGTCTGAAATTATGAAGAAAAATAGAATGAAAATTTCCATTTAACTATTTAAGTGCTAAATAGAGAAATTCTAGGAGAGAGGCAAATATCTTATAATAGTACTCTATGTACAAATTTGATGAAACCAAAGTAATCAAAGAATATTATGTCTAATGGCTAAAAAGGCACAGTTGTGTGATTACTGATTAAATAGAGCAAATAATATTCAAGGGATTAGCAAATTTTTATGGAAAGAGCACGGGTTTGGGAATGAAATAGATGCAGGTTTCAGTTCTGCACTGGCAAGTATTAGCAAGTCATTTGACCTCCTTTTTTATTTTCTTATCTTTGAATTCAGGTAATAGTAGTTACTTTGCACAGGTGTGGGAATGGTTAGGAATGCTGTGTGTGAGGCACCCAGACAGTGCCTGGTCCATAGAGACATTCAATAAATACTATAGCTTTACCCTTTATCACTGGGTTCATAGTAGTACATAGTGATGGTAAATAACAGAGACCATTATTTCAAAAGTTTCATTAAGGCCAGGGCTGTTTTTCTTTCTACCAATGTTGGTAGGCTTTACTGTTCTTGAGTGTTAAATAACTATGGGAAGGACCTTCAATTCCCCTGTCTGGAAAACAAAGAATCTTGCCTGGCCTGAACATCTGTGGTTCCCTAATCCTAATTATATACTTTTAAATAGTACAGAGTGGAGCTGTAAAACTTTGCTCATGCCTAGCAATTGTCACCTGTGCAGCCCAAACCAGAATAACCAAAAGAAAGGAATAATGCAAGTGATCACATGTTATCACGGTCGATGTTTCAAAGCCAGTGAGGTCTATAGATCAGATGTGTGTTTGTGTGTGAACTTGTTCCTGTTTTCTCTCCAATTAGGCTTGCATTTATTTGTTTTTGTGATCTCACATTTAATTTTGATCCATCCCTACCCTACCCAGATCTTTGGACCCCAGCATTTTTTAAAATGGAATCTCACACTTTATGAAAATTTATACTTTATGAAGAGTGTAATGCACTAATCTTCCAGTGCAATTCAATGGCTTGACACCTGCACATGTGTAACCCACACCCATATCATAGTGTGAATCATGTCCACGGCCCCCCCAAAAAACCATCATGCTTTTTCCCAGTCAATACCTCCAACCCCAAGATAGTTAAGGTTCTAGGATCTCCTTCCTCATAGATTGGTTTTGCCTGTTGTAGATGTTAGAACAAATTAAATCATATAAAATATATTATTTGGTGTCTGGATTCTTTTGCTCAGCACAATGTTTTTGAGGTTCATACCTTGTTTTGAATATATCAATAATTCATTCTTTATTAGCTAGTACTACTTCATTATGTGAGTATATCACCGTTTGTTGATGATGGAGATTCAGGTTGTATCCAGTTTGGGACTATTAAGAATACAATGGTTCTAAACATGTTTGTACAAGTCTTTTTGTGGGCCTTGCTTTTTTTTGTGTGTGTAGGGGGCGGGGGGGGGAGTAAGTATGTAGAAGTGGAATTTCTGGGTCATAGAGTAGGTATATGTTGAACTTTATGAGAAACTTTATGGGGTCTAAATCTGCATCTATGCATAATAAATATGGATAGCATTTGGATTACAACTGGCAGCCTTTTTGAACAGTTTTAAATTGACATTAAATTTGACACAATCTCATCCTTTTTATT